AATAAATACCTATTAGAATTGATGCCAAACTGATAAAAAAAAAAAAATACCAACAAACACTACTACATAAACTATCCTTGACCCTACAAACATAAAAAGAGAAACCACTGACACCATAAAAGCAATTATTTTCTAGTTCAAACTGCCATCATAATAATTATAATTATCATTATTATCATTCCACCACCATTACTATGATCACTTCTACCACTTTACTATAACTATTTGCTGCTACAATTGTTATTACCATCACCCGCTCCCCACCAACATTACTACCACATCACAATTACCATTACTGTATTAATCCACAATTATACTTCTCCCTTCCCCAGCAAAATTAATACCACCACATAAATACTAATAAGTATTACAAATTGGAATTTCTACCATTTACATATGCGCAATTGCCAAAAACAAGCAAATAACCAGCTTTAAAATACCAAAACAGCCTTAAAAATTAAAAATAATAGCAATTTTTACCTATCATAGTCTTAAACAGATCCCATCATACGTATATGTGCATGCGAGAAAATGACTTGGTGAACAAAATACAAAAAAAGTCTGCGCATTGACAGCGCATCAACCAAGAAATATTTGCTACACAATCCAACATTGAATACAGTGACCAAATGTGTACGTATGTGTGCAACAACACATATGTGCGTATATGCCCAGTCCTGCACTGTTCACGTGTTTGTGTGTGTGTGTGTGTCTGCATATGTCAATGAATGTATGTGTGTGTATGTATGTTTGGGTAAGTATGAGTGGCATCCCAATGACAATTTTTCCTCCTACTTCCATAAAAACACCAATATACGCAACAATATATAAATAACCACAATTTAAAAATTAATCAGTTTGTCTGACAATTGCAAATAGCATTGAACCCAGGGTCACAAACACATCAATCCAACTAAATATGTTAGCTCTATCACTGATATTGAGCGCTTTCCAATAAGTACTGCACATATGTATAAATAATATTGCATGTGTATACATATATATATATATATATATATATATATATATATATATATATATATCCAGGAATTTTTATTTCTTAGGAAATGGCATTGTCTAGTTTGTATCAATTGACAATCATACTAGTTTGTCTGGCTGCTATTAGCTGCTAATCTATGGGTCATGACCATTTCTAAAAAAAATTTTAAAGTTTTGCTTCTTTGCTTTGTTTAAATTTAACATGGGTCATATTTGAGTGGTTGATCAGAGTAAAACCCACAAACCTTATTTCCTCTTTTTTGCTTTTTGATAAGAGGTATTTTGCTTTTAAGTCTAAAAAAATTGTTCACTCACCAGTAATTACAATCGCTTGATGAGATACGCATCGAAACACAACTGCAATTGTATAGCTATTTTGACATGTTTTCGGTCTTGTGTGTGTATATATATATATATATATATATATATATGTGTGTGTGTGTGTGATGTCAAAATTGATGAAAGAAGGAATGTATTATATTGTAAGTAATTTTCATTTAATCCAAATACAATTTTGTAATTTAAGTTTAATGTTAATAATTGAACAGTGTACAATTCATAAACACCTTAGAAACATGTTTTTTATCCTTTTGTGCATGGATAGCTTTTGTATGTGAACTTTTGTGACACACCTTGGGTGTTCTTGAGTCAAATTTGCTGAGAAATTAGAACATCATTGGTAGTGATAGTTGATCCCACAATCCAAGACACCTTGAGGAAAAGTAACTTTATGTGAAGTTTAATTCAAGCTGAAATAAAATATAAACCTCGGCCAAATATTGTCTGACATGTATTTATTTCCTCTCTCTATCCCTTTCTGTTCCGTCTCTCCAATTGTGTGTTTCTTTTTGTGTCTACTTTCCATCATTCCTTTCACTTTGTAGTTTGTCAACACAGTAGCTTTTTGTGTGTGGATGTGAATGGGGTCATGATTTCTGTGCATCTCATGTCAGTTTTGCACACTGCCCCTCAAAAGTCTCACTCACACACACACACACACGCACGCACACGTTGTGCATGTGTGGCATATTATGTTTAAGAATTTTTCTTTTTTAATTTTTTATTTTATTTATTTATTTCTAGGTGATTTGCTGTATTTGTACATTGTAACTATTGAAGAAAAAAGATTCCACATAACAGCATCAACCAGAGGGTTTTACTTAAATCAGTAAGTCTAATCGTATCTTGTTTTGGTTTTAATTGATTTGTAATGCTTGATATTTAAGTAGGTTTAATGTTGTCTATTTAAATACAGGGTGTGACAGAAATACCTCCCACATAATAACATTAGCTAGATGAATAGATCATTGCTACTGTCTTACCAACTACTTACTACATTTTCTTAAATTATAAGTTTCATCATTGCAACTAATTCAAAAATGACTTAAATTGTCTTTAAATCTTTCTGACTTTTAAAAATAATGGAAGCAGTTCTAACCATTTTTAATATTGATTTATAAGGCAGTATCATTTGTGGTTGCTTTCAAATGGTAATCAACTGCATAAATGTTTGATTAAATATTCAGAAATTCCAGAATTCAATTTTAAGCATTTTTTTTCCTTTTACAAAAAAATTTTTTAATTTTTTCATTTACCTTGAGATATAATTTTTTTAGTTACAAATCTTAAAGGTAGAAACAGTTTAAATTTCTTGCATTGAAAGACATCAAATATGATTTTGGCACTACTTAAAATAGTTGTCCACTTACGAAAATAAGGGTAAACTTTTTGGAAAATAATTTTTGTAGCTTAGCAGTCTTTAGGTCTTCCTTAGGCATGCCCACCCACTTTCATATATATATATATATATATTTAATGAGCATAAAGTTTGTCACTTAGCTGATTGATGTTACCTTCAGCATCCTGACTCCAGACTCAGCATTTGACTGTCAAATTGATCCCTGATTTTTTGATTTTTTTTTTTTTTTTTTTTTTTTAAATTCATTTCAAATAAAGAACAGGTATATGCACAAGAATTTATATAATAACGTATCCATTTAAGATAATTAACCTCAAATGCTTGTGTATGTGCTTCTTTCCAAAATAATTCTATACAGAAAAAGATTAAAAAAAAAAATTTTTTTTTTTTTCTGATTTAAATAAAGAAAATTGAAAAAATATGCAGATATCAATGATGTTACCACATTTTCAAACTTGGCATTGGTAAATAACAGCTGTCCATCAGGGAACAATTTTATACTTTATCAATATTATGAACTGCACCCCCCCCCCACATGCACGCACACTTCTGAAATGATCAAATATAAATATTTTTTGATTCTAACATGCCAAGGTTTAAGGTCTAAAGAATGCCAACCCACAAAAGATTTTTTTTAAATAATATGAAATTTACAATTAAAATCCAAGCATTACTTAAATACTTTTTTTTTTTTTTTTTTTTTTTTTAAGGTCCACTGAAGATGAATTCAATCCAAGACCGGCAACTCAGAAGCATCTATCTCACTCACTCATTGAGCTGTTAAATCAGGTAACTTATTTTATATATGTCTGGGTTTAAAAAAAAAAAAAAATCGGATATATCTGTAAAGACAAGATAAATAAAACAAGAGGAAAGGTTTTTAAGCCAACGTGTTTTGTTTCTTGGGGGAGAGATTTTATTAAGACAAGAAATCTCATTTAGTAAACTATATAGAAGTAACAGGAATAAAAATAAAATGTTAAGTTTTCAAATTTTTCATTAGCGAGCATTCTAGGATATTTTAAAAACATACTGTATTAAAAGGTAAATTATGGAGGACATTAAGTGACAGAATTTTTTGGTTTATTGTATCCCCCCCCCCACATTGCTTTTGTGTATAAATACAGGTTCCTAAATAAAATTTCTACCCTTGGTAATTTTTGATGAAATTAAATGCATTAATATAAAAAGCTTTCCTCTCTATCGTGTCTTTGACCATTCTTGATCATTGAATTGTAAATTTATTTTTTATAAAGAGTGTTGACTTATGGCTTTTTATTTTTTACTTTCCAGATAAGTCCATCCTTCAAAAGGAATTTTTCCATCCTATTAAAGAAACGAGCACAAAAACATCCCTTTGAACGTGTCTCGACACCATATCAAGTATATAGCTGGGTGGCTCCTCAATTGGATCATACAGTTGATTATATCAGAGCAGAGGATGGTTAGTATATATTCATGCAATGTTTAAGTTTAAATGAAATTATTTGATAATTCATAAATTACTGTAGAGGATTGCATTGATTGCAGGTAGAGCAAGATTATCATGATACATAATTAAATTTATACTTTATATTACGTTTTTCTTTTTTTTTTTTTTTTTTTTTTTTTTTATTTTCTCTCTGATAGATGCGTCCGTTTGCCCTTTGCGCTCTCGCAAATGCGTCCGTGTTTTGCCCTCGGAACATTGAAATCCGTGTTAAAAATGTTCAATAGGAAAATTGACATTTTTAATTTACTTATTGGTAGAAAGAACCAAAAGCTTTAAAAAAAAAAATCTAATGGTCCTATGATGCAAACATAATTGTACCCTTGCTTAGTAAATTTTTTTGTTTTTTACTTTAATATTTTTATCTATTCTATTGTTCACCCAATAAAAGGCCTAACAGTCATTCAAGTTAAAGGATTACTGAATGGGATTGTTTGATCATTGTGTAATGAATGCACCTGTCTATAGGGTATAGGCCTTACCTGGAAAGGTTTGAACTGGTGGAATATAAGAGTGTAGCTCATCAGGGCATTTTTTTTCTCTATGGGAATATTGATAAACTGAAAAGATTGTATCTGTGGGGGAAATAAAGTTGGAAAATAATTTGTCATCTACAAGGCTGTGCAAAATTTTAATATGGGGAATATTTAAAATGATGAAAATAAATACTTCTGTTTAAAATTTTACTATTTTGGTAGCATTTAATTTCTTGTCAGATTCTGTATTTTACTATTTGTCAGTGTTATGATGTTGATTTGGGGTTAGTAGAGACAAACGCCAAATAACATGTAACAATAAAAAGGATTTTAATAGGTTGGTAAAAAGGTAGAGAAATCGCCTGAGTAGTCAATAACTAGCTCAGCTAAGAACTTCTCTATCTGTCTTCCCCATGTCAACTGACATGCTACTATTTAAAGTCTTTGTTCACAGACGCAGACAAGTTCATCTTCAAGAGGGGTGGTAAGTTTCCGACGCAACAGTCAGCTTACAAATATATATTTTATTTATTTGTAGCATTCTCTACTCGACTCGGTTATGAGGAACACATACCTGGTCAAACAAGGGACTGGAATGAAGAGATCCAAACAATTCGAGAACTACCTCGAAAAACCTTGCCAGACAGGCTGATTCGTGAAAGAGCCATATTCAAGGTGAAATTTTTTTTTTAATGTTCTTGGTGATGTTTATTTTTTAATTTTAATGAAAAAAACTTATGGTTATGACTTTGAATTTATTAATCAGTTAATTTTGATTAAGTGTTAATGTTTAACTGCCATTAATCCAAATTTATGATGGGCTGAAATCAAACTAAATTCTAAAAATTCTACTGATATGGAAACCTTTCAGAATTGTTATTAGATGTAAGATTAGCAACTGAGAAATATTGCATTGTCAGTTTTGATTAAATAAGATAAAGCATTTATGGAAATAGCTTGATATTTTTAAAGCATAGACTAATTAATAACAAACTCAAAATTGTTTTTAAGTGAAGATAACTATTGAATATAAAGTATTTGCTCTTCATGAAAGCATTTTCATAGTTACACACACACAACCCTGGGTGTGGGATTAGACCAGTGGTTCTCAAATAGTGTACTCTGAAAGATGTCTAGGTGCACCCTGGCATTCCAGAGAAATGTGTCCAGATATAAAAAATGATATTTACTTTATTATGTTGCATTACCTTTTTCATTCATATTTATGTGAATTAGGCTTTTTTGCTCTCACCACAATTGAGTGCAAAAAGAAAGGAACTCTTCAATGTATTGACAAGGAAATGAGTTTGTTTGCCTATCAAATATATGTTGAAACTTTGGAGAAATTGCTAAGACTCATCAGATTCATGTTTCTTATAAACACAAAATGAATAAACTTAGGGAATGTTTCATTTTATGTTTTTTTAATTGCATTATTTCTTTTCTGCAATATTTGACCTCATTATAACATGTTTTTTCCAAAATTTGTATACAATTATCAATAGGATCTCAAGTGCACCTTGACTTAGTTGGTGAACCACTGGATTAGACCATTTTACCTACTATAAATTCTTTGTGGACAGGGTTATTTTGAAAATTAATCCAGATTCACTGATGAATTACCAGTCAGCTTTCTCAAGGCCTGAACGACAATTCTACTCACAAACACCAAAATACTAGCAGCAAAAATAAATAGTAAGAAAGACTTATGATCTTTGAAGCAATAATTGTACAACAAAAATAACCACCTATAGTTATAATTAAAAAGCCTACATTCTCAAATGTATAAAAAATCTATTTTAGTGAATTCATGTGAAAGCAAATGAAAGAAAAGCCTTGGATTCATTTTTTCACAAAATTTATAATTACTTACCTGCTATGTGTTTATTTAAATTTTCTTGCTCAGCCTTTTTTATAAATTTATAAATGAAAAAATTTCTTTCTATATTTTTTTTATTTATAAAATGATAATAATATTCCATTATAGTTCACATATTTTTATAATCTTTTAAATATAAAATTATTATTCAAAATAAGTAATCAAATAAATAGTGTATATCTGTTAATTTTCAAGAATAAAGAAAATTTTAAATCCACTTTCATATGTTTGGATTTTATTAAAATTCTAATTTATTCCTTTTTAAAACATTGCTGAGGGAGTCAGAGAATAACCATTCTGTTGACATACTGATTTTTGCAGGCATGAAAATTTAAACATTGCCAAAAGCTATAAATTAGTAAGATAAAAAAAATCTGATTCTTAAATTACTATATTTCACTGGGAACAAGAACTCATATATTACTTTGACTAATATTGTAAGATTTTTTTTGTTTTTGTTTGTTTTTCTACTTTCATTACCTATATAAAAATCTTTGGTCTATTACTTGTCATTTTGACAAGTTTATATACAAATCAAAGTGACTTTTAGTTTCGGTAGTTTCTATTGAAATCTGAAATCTTTTGACTTCTGAATGACTTTTTCTTGTACTTTACTCAAGATTTTAACCAAATCTTTTGAATATAATGAATGCTACAAAACTTCCAGTCAAAAAAAAAAAAGAGGAAGTCGTAATTTTTGATGCTTAACTTTATGGATGACGATATTAGCTCCCGAAAAAATATTTAAATCGTTCTAGCACTGTAAGAAGAGCATGAATTTGTAAACAGTCACTAATACTGCTGATAATGAAAGCCTCTCTAAATTGGATTGTTTGACATTCTTGCTCTTCTATTTAAAACAAACTTAATTTGTGTCTATCAGTTGATGTTAAGATTGCATTTTTTTATTAAACAGGTAAATAGTGACTTTGTTGCTGCTGCCACAAGGGGTGCAATGGCAGTGATTGATGGAAATGTGATGGCAATCAACCCAGGAGAAGAAGCGAAGTAAGAATCCTTTATCCATATTTTCACTGGTTGCATATTTGTTTCTCTCTCTTATATTATACGTGTAATATATGTGTGTGTGTGTTTTTGGTTAATATTATTAACATCTTATATGGTTGTATATTTGCCAAAGTAGTTTTGAATTTATGATCTTTTTTTTTTTTTTACTCTTAAACAGTTTTTACAGTTTCTTAAAGGGGCCTTTTATTTATCAACTACAGGATTTTTATGTAGGAAGTGTGTTGGTCATGTAACTAGTTAGCATGTTACCTATCTACCTCCTTTCATTTTTACTTAAAGTTGAACACCAGACTTCTATACATGTTATGAAATGATATAGCTATTTATCTGTCTATAGTGAAATTGTCTAGGATTTATATGCAGACAACTTTGTCAATAATAATATTATTATTTTTCACTGAGTTTGAATTTAGCATAGGTCCAATTCAATGGCAAAGCTCACAAGTCTATTTTTAATTCTTTTTTTTTTTTTGTTAAGTATTCTGCTTTTGAAATTAAAATGGTTCACTCGTCAGTAATTAATCATCTCCCAAAGAGACACATTTGTAGTATTGAAACATAATTGCAATTGTGTAGTGATTTTTAACCTGTTTTTGTTTTAATATGCTAAAATAATTGTATGTATGTATGTATGTATATATATATATATATATATATATATATATATATATATATATATATATATTATGATTTTGTGGTTAAAACTCATAGATCTGAAAAGTGAAAACAAATGCATCAAGTAGGTATGACAGTTTCTGCCCAGACCCTCAAATACAGTAGTAATCCTTTATGGTACAGTCAAGTTATGTTTCTAAATTTTTTTCAAAACACCTCACAATGTCTTCCAAGAGGGAATTATTTCTGCCTACTCTTAAGCCTGCCAAGAAGAGAAGGCAATTGATCTAGGCAGTAAAATGGTGGTTATTAAAAAGCATGAATGAGGAAACAGTTTGTGTGATTGCATGTGATATGAGCTTATCCCATTCAACTGTTGATGATTCTTAAGGACAAAGAAAGGACCCATGAAGCTATTATAGGTTAGGGTCCCCATGCATTCTACCATTATTATGAAACAATTTACTGGGCCTATTCCTGAAATGAAGAAATTACTTCACGTTTGGATCAGACCAAATTCAAAAATGGATACGGGTAAGCCTTTATACTGTCCAGACAAAGGCAAGAAGTTTATTTCAGATGTTAAAGGAATACGCTGGAGATGAATATATGCAAGAATTTGTGGCAAGTACTGGGTGGTTTCCAATTGCATAATGTTCGTGTGACTGGAGAAGCAGTGAGTGCAGATGAGGAAGGAGCATGTAAGTTTGTTCATGATCTTAATTATGGAAGAAGATTATTGTGCAGAACAGATTTTTAATATGGATGAAATGGGGGTTATTTTGGAAACTGATACCAGCACGCACTTACATCCACAAAGAAGCAAAAAGCATACCTGTGACCCCCATGCATGCTAGTGGTAGTCCCACCTTGCTTGGGGTGAAATACTTTAAAAGAAAAAAAATATTGTTAGTTACTGGAAGAATTTAGAAACGCTCTTATGTTCATTGGCTCAACTGAAAAATTGTCATTTATATTTGAAGCGAATTTTTCATGTGGAAATATCATTTGGATTGTTGTGAAGATGGATTGAACCGTTTTCTTTTTGATTTCTTGATATTTGTTGTATATATTGGCTTGTGAGAGTAGTAATTCTGTTAGGAAAGTTGTGATTGGGAGGGATAGTGCATAGATTAATATTTGGATAATATTCGATGGCAGTACTCTAGAGGATTTTTCTTTTGAGTAAATCATTTTCTTTTTTGAGTGTAGCATTTTTTAAATCAAAATTGTGGTTGAATTTATTTCTATGAATGACCAGTGCATTTGTCAAATTGTTATTTATGAGGTCCCTTTTGTGTTATTTTTTTTAATTTCTGCATGTTTTGGCAATTTATTTTATATATGCCTGCTTCTGAAATATTATGGGTGTTTTTAGATATGATTATATCCATAATGGTTTTGGAAGTGATTGTGATGTTGTTTAGATGAGATGGTGATTATTGTGATGGTGTTTGGAAAATATATATTGTGTCTGTCTGAATAAGATATTTTTATGCTGCAAGTATTCATCAGAACAAGTTTAAAAAGAACCAACAATGTAATTTTTCATGGTATGTTTGGTGTATTGTGAAAGAAGTTGTGGATAGCTACAAAAGTCAGAAAGTGTTTGAACAAAATAACAAATATGAACTTTGGATAGGCATTCACAATTCTCAACACCTTATCTGAAAATTAAAAAAAAAAAGATACAGTAATCACCCCGCTGCCTCTATCCATCTGGTCTACTCAGATCTATCCATCTGGTCTACTCAGATCTATCCATCTGGTCTACTCGGATCTATCCATCTGGCCTACTCAGATTAGGCACTACATTTGTTTATTAAACAGCATGTTTATTTATCTACCAGCCTTCCTGTCAGAGCTCACATATTTTTCATAAATGGGACTGTTTGGGAACTGTCCTGTGTTGACAATATTAAATGCACTCAAGTCGCATAAACAACTTTATCTGTAGATTTTTAACTATTACTGGTTAGTGTCTTAGTTCTGGTTGCTATAATCACACATTATAGAAACTAGATTTTTCCTCAGTCAAAACAAGAGAAAGAAAAGGATTGTTTATATCAATTTGGGAGCAATAAGGGCTTGTGAAGTGAGAAGTTAATTAAAAAAAAATAAATTTAATCACTGTTTCCATTCCCTTTTCTTTTTTTTTTGTAGTAGGGGACAGTCTTGATACTGATCGTATTTATATAATACAAACTTTTTTTTTTTTCCCAGAATGCAAATGTTTATTTGGAACAATATTTTCTTCTCGCTTGGATTTGATGTCCGTGATCATTACAAGGACTTTGGTGGTGATGCTGCAGCTTATGCTGCTCCTGTAAGTAATTTTTAACTTTTCTACATTATTGTGTTTTTGTATGCGTGTTTTTTTTGTTTTTTTTTTAAATATCTGAACGTGATATGGCTGTCAGCCTTATGCCATGGGGGGATATTAGCCTGGAACCCTTCTTGCTTCAAATTAGATATAATTGGCAAAATGACTCACAGTTTACTGGATATGTTACATATGTCAATGTTACATCTGCTTATTGGTCATACCAAAATGTTTAAAGACTACATATGGGATACTAAGTTAAGATACCGGTTATGACATGGTGGCATCACACTGAAAGAATTGAAATATATATTAAGCCATAGAGATATGTAATTCTGAACATTTGTAAAGAAAGTAATGAACCAAAGTATTTTTGGGTTGGGGTGATTTAACAAGAATAGTTTCTTTTATTTTTCTTTATTAAATCATTTCACCCCCAAGAAAGGCAATAAAGCCACTAAGATGCAAGGGGAGGATGAGAAAAAGAAAAACATTAAGGGGAGAGAACAATAAAAGAATTAAGATAGAAGATAATGATTGATATTTGATTTCAAGCTGGAAGAATTTTACAAGCAAGAAATGTGAGAGAAGAAACTGTTAGCATGTAACTTAGGGTTACATCTAGCCATTTCAACTGTAAAACCTTGTTGCCAATCTGTGTTTAAATTCATAAAGTCTAAGTACGAGAGAGGAATCTTTATCAGAACAATTACCATGATAATATTTATAGAGAATGCACGGGGAATTTATCTTACAGTGAGTGGGTAAATGGCTGAAGCAAAGTCAGGACTGATAATATTTTGCAGATTCTGCTTTGGATTTTATCATGAATCCCTAAATGCACAGAAGTGCCAAACCAAATGTGATGGCAAATATTCAATGAATATGAGAGAGAAAAAAAAAAAAAAAAATAAAGAGAGAACAAAACATTAAGGCAGAAAATAGCAATTGACATTCTATTTAAATCTGTCCAACATTCTGGTTTCCTTATATGCAATACCAGGTGTGAGGTCTTCTACTCATTGAATTTAGTAGCCAGAGAGAGGGGTGAACCCTAGGTCAACTCTGCAACTGGTTTCCTTTTCGTAGTCTGGTGTGAAATACGAGTACAATGTCTATTTTAGTTACCATACCCATTCTTTTATGGCTTTTTACTTTCAGGGTAATGATTTACAGGGTGTGAAGGCTTACTTTGGTGTTGATCCTGAAGGATTATACATGCTTGGAACTGTTGTTGTTGATTATCGGGGCTACAGAGTCACTGGACAATCTATTATTCCAGGTATGAATTAAATTGTAACTTTTATGTATAAAGGCTGCTATGGAAATTGTTAAAGTCTTTTATAACTATTGAAGACCTGTCAAAAATGTTTTTGCTGGTTAGAACTTTGTAAGGTACCAAGAAAAACAAAAATGGAAGACGTATTCTCTCACTTGATTTTTCAGGCTGAATGGAAAAGAATGATGTGTGTGTGTGTGTGTGTGTGTGTGTGTGTGTGTGTCTGTATATGTCCCACACAGAAATGGTGGGTCAAAAAAAAAAATGTGGAACCTTACTTGTAATTTTTGCCGAAGTGAAAATTCAAAGTTATGGTTTCTCTTTGAAAGCGGTGAGGCCATTTTTTTTTTTTTTTTTTTTTTTTTCTGTAATTCCTACCACTGTGAGGTAGGGATGTTCTTCTGCAAGCTCTACATCACAACTGCCCAGTGTCACTCTATCCCCCTGTTGTCATGACTATCTCAATGAAAGGGAGGCAATCACCATTTGTATCCCTAAAATCACATGAGTAAATTACATTTGGGATCAACATATTTTCACATGCTCTCTATAAATATGCATGTACGCTTACAAAAAAAATTACTGGTAAATAATAAAAAATGGTGAAACAGTACCAAAAATGTCATGTGGAAATAATAGCTAGAACTAAATCTTAGAATGGTAAATGCTTTCTTGAAAAATTGACCATTCTAAAAATAAAATGCATCATGTTCTGGTTGTTGAGTCCACTTGTCTTCATCAGGAATGTCAATCTGTGTAACCTGCAGGAAATATGGCTCATCTCATGTGTCAAAGTACACACTGCCTGGGGATTGAGCTTACAATTATTGTCATCAATTTTAGAAATTTGACAATTTAATTAATTTTTTTTTTTTTTTCTTAAATAAATAAATTTTGTCTCCAATCCTAATTTAATATAAATTATAAATTTTTTTTCTAGCCTATTGGTTGCACCCATCCATTTGACATGCCCAGATTTTGTCCTGTGATATTTAGGGAAGACAAATGCACACATCACAATTTAAAAAAAAAAAAAAAAAAAAAAATGTAGGCCTTACCTTTTGTGATCTTCTCACTAACCATGAAGAAACAATTACAGTATTAGCAAAAATTATACTACTGGTACTTTTTTTTATTGAAAATTGTTTTAGTTTTTTTTCAAGGAGCTGCATCTTTACATACAGTAAATTCATATTTACAAAGAAATCTGCTGATCTCAGTAAACACTGGTACATATGGTAAAAGGTAAAAAAAGAAAAAAAAAACAAAACAAATATACTACTTGTTGGTAAATGAAGCCTCATATCATACATACAAAAAACAAATTTCAATACCTGTATATCACACACACTGACCAATCAGTCAAAGCAAATATTTTAGTAAAATTTGGTATTTCTACAAAACAAGCAGCAAAATATTATCCAGTTCCATAAATTTTTTTCCAGTATGAATTTTTCAAGAGATATTTTTCTTGATATCATGTTTGTTCATGTCCAGGAGTTGTATTTTCAGAGTTAAGTGCTATGCATGCACTGATTCCTGGTGAAGCCAACTTTTTTCATCGTTTTCCTCTCCCCCTCATATATGATACTACTGTATTAGAAGCAGGGTAATTTTTTGTTTTTTAATCCACTTTCAATAGGCCGGCAAATACAGTATATACATTTCTCTTTGATTAATCTAAAGGGTTTTGGTATACTCTAGTAATCTGATTGCATTGTTTAGTAAAACCATTGTTCAGTTAGCTTTTTATATTCTACATGTATATTTAATATTATGGAATACCAAGATTTGATGTCAACAGTTTATCATATACCTTATTATAAAGCTCTTACTGTCCAGATCAAAGAGATGAATTAGTGCTCTGAAAAAAAAAAAATCTTGTTTAGCTACCAATACAGGCTTGACTATATTTGCCAAAAAAAGAAAATCTAATTTTGATTTTAATTTTTGGCAGGTATCCTGGAGAGGGACCAAGAACAGTCAGTCGTGTATGGATCTGTTGATTTTGGAAAATCCGTGATTAGTAATCCAAAGTATGAGGAACTGGTAAGTTTTTATGAACTTGAAGGTCTGATGAATTGGATTGTGATTATGATGCCAATGTAATAAATTATAACCATGGAATATTAGTGTTTGAGCCATTTATATTATATTCTTACTCTGTCCTGGACATTGAGTTCTACCTGGATTCTATCCTCTTGCGAATTTATATATGTAAACCACTAATATATATATATATATATATATAGAGACCACTAATATTTTTTTTTTTTATATATTTTTTTTCCTTTTTGCTAATATATATATATATATATATATATATATATATATATATATATATATATATATCCTTATACATCAAAAAATTTTAAGCTGCATTTGACATTCAAATAAAAAAGAAAAAAGACCCCTGAAAGGGGGGGGATCATTTCTAAAGACATTCTATGTGTCACATCTTTGGAAAAAGTTTTTTAATGTTATTTAATGATTCCTGTAAAGTCGCCTATAACAAATTTAGTATAGGAGTTAAGATTAAGATTGTTTAATTTCCTTATGTCTTAGTGGCTTTATTATCTTGCTTATTGAAAAGAAAAAAAACATAGGCTCTGCTATGAGGTAGTTTTATTCAACTCTGGAAGTTGCTATGAGACCAAAATATGAACCTAAAAACTAAAGTCATATTAAAAGGTCTTGTAGAGATTGAACATTTCATATGAATCCATACATGGTACCAAATTCATTCAGAAATATCTAGACCAGCACTTAAACTTTTTTAATTCAGGACCCCATTTTTCATCACAAGATTTTTCACAACCCCCAGGTATTAACTAACTAAACTGAAAATACATAAGTTGTCACTGCACTAATTGCAATGGCGCCGCACATGCATTTTATTAACACAGTGGTTGTGTGGTGCATCACATTAAATATTGTGCATTTGTGAAATAACAGAAACTGAAATTCGAGTGTTTGAATTTAATTTTTGCAACTCCAGCATTTCACTTCACGATTCCAAATGGGGTTGCGACCCATAGTTTAAGAAATACTGATCTAAACTATTGGCTGTATACAACTGCCTTCTCAAATTTATGGTTAAAAATGGCTTCAAATGAGTGAAGCATGTAGGTCTTGGTGAGGTTTATCCTTGTTCAAACTTTGTGGACTGGCATTATGGAATACCCAAAAACAATTGAATAACATGAACCACCTCACTTGAGGATTTTTCAATAGCAACAGCAATTACAATGATAGCACATGTAACTCCCAGAATAATGACATAATAAAAAAATTAAATTGTGTTGAACATTGCCTGAAAACAAAATTTAGGAAAGTGTTTGAAAAGAGCAATTTTGTTTTTACTGGACTTCAGAAACCTATTTTCCTGAAAAGTTATTTTAAGAGAAAGTTTTATAAATTTCAACTGAAAACAGTAATGGATGTTCACTTAAAGAATGCTGCATGTTTCCTTATAAGGAAACTAATATTACCATTATAGATGAGAACAGATACTACACTTTGATCCTAGCCTTATTGAGAAACGGTCAATGACTTATTTTTTCCCAGAGGATATACATTTATTTCAACACTATCCAAAAAGACATTGAACTTCACAATATATTGGTTATAAATGTCTGAGATTTTCTTATACATTTTTAAAAAATAGTGCAAAAAAAGAAATCACAAACAAAAAAAAATAAGAAATAAAAGAAAACAATCAATACAACATATTTGAATAATTTTTCTTATTACTGGAGAATATATAAAACCATTTACTAAATATAGAAGGAAACCATCTACTTAAAAATTAAAAATTAAAAATAAATAAATAAAAAGTTTAAAATGTTTTTGTTAATCATATTTTCAATGGTTGTCCAAATACAAGGCCTCAAATATAATTATAAAATTTTGAATTTTATTAAAAAAATAATATATGAGAAACAGAAAAAATAATATATATATATGATTGAATCAAAATTTTAAATCTTTTTTTAATAAATGAATGTTTATGGGTTTTTAATAAATATTGGATGTTTTAATGTATTTCTATTTTTTTTTTTGTCTATTTAAATAGTCTGTTGAGCCATTTTTATATTTTCCAACCACACAAGTAAGAATTTTTCTTTAACTTTCAAATTTGAATTTAATTTGTTTTATTTTTTAAATATTTCAAACCTGAAAATTTTGAAATTTTTTCAGATTTAAATGCAAAAAATCTTTTCTTCTGCTGTATGTCTTATAAAATATCCCCCCACCCACTCCCCTAAAACAAACTTGCAAATTTAAATAATCAAGATTTTCTCCTGTTAAAAATTTTGAAAGAGTAGATCTACCATTTAAATATAACTCTTGTTTTAATAGTTTAAATGGTAATTCTGTACTATTCAGACTAAAGTTTGCAATTTTTTTTTTTTTTTTTTTTTTAATAGTAACGAGTTTTTTATATATAAATTCAAGTGTTCATTTATTCTTGATATAATTTTTTTTTTTTTTTTTTATAATTAAAATTATAAACTATTGTATACAAATTTTCAAATTTTTTTTTAAATATTTCAAAAATATTGGTAGATAATACTTATAAAAAGACTTGTATACAGATTATCATTTCTGTCTTGGATCAATGTTTGAATTTTACATATTTGCAAATTAATTTTACTGTGTTAAAGGATAAATACTGGTGTCATGGAAATGTCATTTATCTGTAAATTTCACATAACTTTATTTACTTATCCATAAATTGAAGAGAAAAAATAATACATGAGTATTCTTGCAAAATGCATTTTTATAAAACTTATAAAAATAGCTTTAAATTTAAAATTATTTGATTTTTAAAACCAATATCATAAAATTTGGAACCATTTTTTTTGTTTGAATTCATTATTTTTTTAAAACTATTCTTCATAAGTTATCAATCATTACATAGAATAGTCACTTTTTGAAATTTAAATGATCACTAGTTATTTACAGTAAACTTTGTCATTGACAGATTTCCGTACCTGACAAGATGATACAATAATATCAATTGTAATACCTACTTAATTATTTTATCATTATAAAGGGAAGAAATAATCTGAAGTATATTTCCATGCAGTTATCTTTTTAAATATTGTAAAAATATCTATATATTCCTTTGATATGATTTATACATATAGCTTTATTTTGATAGTTTAAAAATGACAATGTTTATATAAAACATTTTATATTGTGATAAAATATTTAAATCAAGGCTATATCTAATTGGGCATATTTGAGCTATTTTGGTCAAATATAAAAAATTTTAGTACCTGGATTAACACTGTATAATTGAAAAATTAAATAACTGAATTAATTAAATGAAAATTGAAATATCAAACATTTATCTGACTCATAAAATTAACCTTTTTTTTTTTTTTTTTTTTTAAATCTTATTGTACTCTTTCAAAAAAGAATCCATCATGAACATTCAATAAACACAAAAAAATTTAATATTATTTGTGTATCATATTTTTTATCTAAATTTAAAATATATAAAATAAAAAAAAAAATTTTGTTTTTGTTAAATATGGTTTTTTTTTGACAGTCAAAATTTAAATATCTATTGCAGAAACAATATTTAAAACTGAATAAAAATTAAGCTTTTCTCTTTTTGTTGTAAATGACTTTCAGATTTTTTTAATTTTTTATTTTACTAGGGTAATAAATTAGAAATTAAACTTTGAAAAAATAGAAAAAAAATTTCTTTGGAATGTAAGGAAAGGTTAGTATTTGATAACTTTTTTGAAACTATCTGATAAAAATAGAAGAATTTTTATCAATTATTAAAAATCTTTAAAATAAAAATTTCATTTTTTTTTTTTTTTTTTTTTTTTTTTAAATTTATTGTGAATATGTAAGAGACACTGCAAAAAAAAATATATATATATATATATTTTTTCCTGTGTGATTATTGTTTCTAAACATACTAAACTGCTTTCATTTTTTTACTTTTATATGTTACTGTACATATTTGAGTATAATGTGAGTTTTATCAAATTTTTACAAAAAAAATAAAATTCACTATACACAGATAAAAAGTTTTTATGGTGGTGAAAAAATCTAAATATGAGGCATTGCATATTTTATAAATGAATATTAACTTGTATAACATATTTGATGTTTAAAATCCAAAATAACTTAATGTTGAACAGTTTTTAATGATTGTTGAGAAGAATGTGTCAATTTTATTTGGTTAATTTTTGAAAAAATATTTATTTTAAAATTTTCGAAAATTTTTTTGTGTTTTTTTTTTTTTAATCTTGTTTTTTTTTTTTTTTTTTTTTTTTTTTTGTTTTTTTTTTTTTTTTTTTTTTCGTTTTTTTTAATTCAATTTTTGAAAGACAAATATTAACTGGAATGACAATAAAACAGTATTTTGAAATCTCTTTATTATTTTTTATTTTATCAAACCATACAAATAATAGAAATATATATTTCCTGATATATTTTTCAGGGAAGAAAATTAGTCAAGGCTCGATAAAAAAAAATTAAAAAACTTGAATTTTATGAACATTATTCAAACTATTGTCCATCATGTAAGTTTAAAAATTTCAACATTGAAATATCTGGCCTTCTTCAATTGATTGGAATGAATCAAAATGAACTCTTTATTTTAAAACAATCATATTTAGACTGTTCTAGTTCCACATGTTTAATGGATGTAATCAGTTATCTCCTTGAAAATCCATGAAAGAGGCTCAGGCGGACAATTTATTGAACTGGACTCTTTGGGTCCAGTCACTGGATCTAACCAGGCTTTTATCCACTGTGCCTTGTAATGATAACATGAATCAAAATGAATTTCTGGATATTATATCCCTAATGATCAAAACATCATCATTTTTACCAGCTGACAAAAATATTGCAAGTTTTGATGGATCAAATCATGATTATACAAGAAAACTCAAGACCTCATTAGCAATTATTATACAGCAAAGTAAAAAAGGATCCTAGAATGAAAATGGAACACAGTGTC